ACCGTTCCAGACGAGAAAGTAAATCTTTTCATTAAATTATCAATTTGTTCTAGGGCTCGGATTTAAATGCACTTAAAACCATACAGATATGCTCTAAAAAATAGCCAAAAATGCATTTTACCACAAAAATGCCCTAAAAAAATACAATTTACCACAAAAATGACCTTAAAAATTCCACATATTTTTTTTTATACAAATTGTAATTTATAAATGAGACATAATAATTATTTTTACATAATTATTTTATTCGAAAAAAACTGAAAATTTGAAATATTGACTGATATGATATGTTGACACGCATGTTGGCCGTTTTAGGGGAAATATTATTCATTCTAAACATACCAAAATATATATTAACATTTATGTAAAATTAACATTCTAAGTAAGTCTTTTGTACTTACTAAATTTTGAGCATTGCATTGAACAATAATATGTTTAATATTTTCAAACACCAATGACCTTCCATTGTCCGAAAGAATATTTTTGTAGTTTTTTTAGTTTTATATCTATTTAGAATAAATATGCATTAAAAACCAATAAAATGACCCAATAATGCTAAAAATGCTTTAAAAAAGAAAAACGTCGAAATATGCAAAAAAAATGCAAAATAAAATTTGTAGCTTTCAAACCCTCGTTACATGGAACGAATGATGTACTTAGAAAGCATTGTATGTGATCAACCAAAAAAATATGCACTTTGCATTGAAATCCGGGCCCTAGTTATTAGTTATAATGCTATCATTACGTCAGTCGATGTGGAACGTTCATTCAGTCAATACAAAAACATTTTACGACCAAATCGCCACCATTTTACGTTTTTAAATTTTAGAGAATATTATGTAGTTTCGCATTGTTTTAATAATTATTAATTAGATAAGAGATAAGTTTTTATACTTAATTTTGGTACTCTTTTTTTCTGTTAAGCGATTATTACATATTTTGATTTTTTTTTTTACATATTTATGAACATATTTTGATTTTTTTATTACAATAAAATCCGTTCCCTAGTTATAACTATACTGCAACAGCATCTATCGGTTTTTCAACGTCCAGAAAACCGCTGTCTGTCACTGCCAGATGGCACTGCTGTAGTGCTGTTACGATTTTTGTTTTCTATTTTTTGGTTTTTCGATTTCAAGCCTACCGACTTACCTAGATGGCCTACGGACATTTTCTTTTTGACAGGCCTATAGAGTCCATCGTTACAAAAGTGATGGCTGGTCGGTGTCGTTTTTCGAATATGGAATCGATACTCGATAATTAGAGTACAATAACGTAAAACGGTTTTCGAATTAAATGACAATGAGTTTACGCCGCTTCGCTGGAAAATGGCATTCCCTACGGTTTTCAAATGTATTGCACAGCCATTAAAAACATGTTTGCCGTGTTAGTACCTTCATCCACCTATTATATATACCTACCTTTCCGTTGGGCACTACCTAATGATATTATAATATAGGCACATACCTAAACTTAGCACGAGCTCTGCTCATTGAGCGACATTTGTTTTGTGGAGTGTGCCAAATAATTTTACTAAGGAATAAGGATGTAACTCTTTCACGAATTTTTAAGATCCTCAGCGGTGTAATGGGTGTATTGATTTTACAATGAAATGTGGTTTTTTTAAATTTTTATTAGTGTCCGTCATCACTTTTTGGGGCATAAAAAATACTACGATTTTCTATACTTCAGCATTTTTTATGTTAGGAAAGTATATGTAGTTGGTACTTTGGAGGGTCATAAGTAAAAAATTCCCAGCAGTTTTCAAAAGCGTAGGGAAAAACAAAAAAAAATGAGGAAAAGTAGAGATTTGTACGCAAAATCAATCTTGTTAATTTGACATAACTCTAAAAAAATAACCTTATATTATACATACAATTTTCACCTAATGTTTATATTACCATTTAACACAAGATTACTCAAGGAGTGTTTGTCCGCCTTTAACAACAACAAAAAAAAAAAAATTATCGGAAAGCCACATTAATTTACATTGGAATAAATATAATTAAATATTGTTATATTTCATTAGTTTAATTTTAAGCTATACTTACCATGAACCTATTACACTTTATTACCTTTAATACATTGCCTACTAAGGTGGCTGTCAGCTGAGTTACCCACCCACGCTTATAGCCACTCATGGGCATGTACGCAATCAAAATAATTAATAAAATTAAAATTAAACATATTATTCGTATAAAGTGTGCACCTAGAGGGGTCCGCAAACCACCACAAGTAGATAGCCTACTTACTATAATATAGGGCTCACATTATCACAACCGAGTCTCATGTAGAGTTGGCATTTTTAAAAGGCAACGAAGTGCATATAATATAAGGCAAGTAGTATTAATTATAAATACACTTGTGTATGTTTAATAGACTATAATTGTAGCCATAAGGTATATCCACCGATATACATATCATATATTTTTTGAGATAATTCTTTAGTTCCCATTTTTACAAGTTATAATTAGGTATTCGAGTAAATCATCAATTAGATATTTTTAGTCTTGGTCATATAATCAAAATGTTTGTTTGTTTTTTTTTAATTTTAAATTAATGCATTTCATAGAGTCCCTAATATTTTTCCGGGCCGATACAAAATCAACAAAACATCGTTACGATAGATTTGACAAGCATAAATTGTTTTTTGTCTCTCGGAGATACGTGATAATATAATATATCAAAATAATTTTTGACGTATTGATCACTACTTACTACCTGAGCTACCTCAAAGCATCTATGTGCGTGTATAGTGTTCCGTACATCACCAGTATTGATCGGTATATCGTTGTCGCGCTTAAGTCATATAATATAATATATCAATATGCCTACGATGGCTTCTAACGACAAACCCGTTGTGCTGCAGTTGACGGGAGGAGAAAAAATGCAAATGATATTCGGAGAGTTGAGCCCGCCAAGTACCACATACCGACTACATTTTCGACACGGGTTGGAACATGGCGGCTGCCGTTGAAAAGACACGCGTCTGCGCCGACCGTGGCCACGACTTGTCGTCGACCAGCCGCAGCAGGAGACTCCGAAATCCATCAGCATTTGTGCACCCCGGCCGTGCAACCCTGCGATCCTCGCGAGCTGTCCGACGTGCTGGAACAGAACGGACACCCGTCCGGTCCACCGGACCGCGAGGTGTCTGTGGCGAAGTACGCGGGATACAACGCGCCGCTGCAGGAGAACGGTGCCGTGGATTCGATGGACACGCAGAACGGAATTATTGACACCTCGTCGCGGTGTACGTCCGCGCAGCCGGCGCCGGAACTTCCAGTAACATCGCCCAAAGTTCCGGGCGAATTTTCAGGAGGCTGTTCGGGGCGGGGTCGGTGGTCCTCAGAGCCCGATATTCATTTGAGTTTCGAACTGCAGGTGGACACCCCGGAACCGGCAACTCGCGGGGAATGCAATGACGGCTCTGGTCAGAAGTTGGTCGGCGACCCCATCCATCCTAAACGGCGTCGCACTACGATGTGGAGCCGGACGAAGAGATTCGTCCGGCGCATGTTTTGCTGCGCCGTTTGGGACGTCCGCGAACCCGATGACGTGGACTCCCGCCGGGACGTCCATGACTAGGAGGCCGTCGTATACGCCACGTTCCAGAGGGCGTATCCTTGCGGGACGCCGAACGTGATGGCCCCAGGTGAACCTAACCTAACCTAACCTAACCTAACCCGGCACAGTTCAAAATGTTCAAAAATAAGGGGACATTTTTGGGGACAAACTGCGAGCGCATCGCTCTGAAGATCCAATTTCTATACGACGTTGAGTAACATGTATACTTTGAATCGTCGTGGCCTATACCTAGATAAAATAAATAAGATTTCTTCGGTGTGAATATCATTTCATTTCACAATATTCACATGTCATTAATCTCAAGACAAAATAACTACGGTGGTGATTGATAGCCGACGGCGACGACGACTGTGAGAATTGGGTTTTTTCTGAACTGTATATACAATAATAATGTACCATAGCAATTATCAAATCTCCTTGCAGTGTTGGGGTGGAAAGAACTTTTTCCAGACTCCGGCAAACTTATTCAAGGAATAAAACGATGAACACAAGACTATTAGATATGGAGGATCTTTCAATTCAAAAAATATTTTTCCAAAACCTAGATATGGAAAACGTCGCGGACAAGTTGAAAGTGTTCTGCTGCTCATCACAATAGAAAAACAATGCTCTTTAAAAAATGTTTTCATATTTAAATCTTACTTTGCTTGAATTGTATTTTTTCTTTTTGAATATTACCATTAAATATATGTTGTACGCAGAGTTCAACTCTAACAATATAACAGTGAACTGCTTATTAGACTTGCTGTTTACCGCCCTAAGGGAGGAATTCTGCCTATTAGCTGGTACCATTATCTTATATTATGATTTAATCCGCAAAACTAGTTTTAAAAAAAATTGATTTCAAAGTTTTGGTGTACTCAAAAATGGATAATCATTGACATTTTTTATTTTTTTCTAAGAGACATTTTTCATTTGGTGAACAAGCTTGAAAATTTAGTTTGAATCATTTAACATTATCAATTTTAAAAATTTGGGTTTTTTTTAATCATAGTCCATAAAATATATTTTTTTTACACCAGTAAGAACCAAAAACCAAGTTCTTTATTTTTAACCTGTATCTTGTGAGCTGCGATAATTGTTAATAGTTATTATTTTTAAGAACCCTCCAACCCACCCCCTCTATTAAAAAACACTGGGTATGCCAGTGTTGTAAGTGTAATATTGTACATGAATCGTATACTTAGTGTTCAGTTGAACATAATAATACAAAGAAATGGTATAACAAAAAATGTAATAATAACTCAACAAAATTTTATTACTGATGTTTTTACAAAATAATAGACAAATTAGAATTTTTTATAACTTATTCATTCTCTGAACATTCTCAAAATTAAAACACAAATATAATATGGCATATAAATATCTAAGGTTACTAAAAAATAATAGTAAATAAATTATATAATTTATAAATATCAAAGAACATTTTAAAAACTTAACTAATAATTAAATCAAAATTATATAATATGACTTTTGTGTTCAATGAAATTGAAAAATCTGTTTCAGATCGTCTATTGTTATTTTAGACGAAGCCACTGATGTGCCTTTGAAGAGATTTTCGGCAATTTGTAATTTAAGTGTCTGAATATTTAATATCCTTGTCTCAATTGTGTTGTTACTAATAAATTTATAAATATAAACTGGTTTAATTTGACCCACTCTGTATACCCGATCGCACGCTTGTGCTTCAAGTTGTGGATTCCAGTGCACATCAATTAAAAACATATGATTAGCAGCCATTAAATTAAGGCCGACGCCACCAGCTTTCAGCGAAAGCAGCAATATCTGGAAAACGTAAGAAAACAAAATGTAGTCACCAGGTCTAATAGAGTAACATAATATCAGTCATAAAATAATTTATAAACCAGGTCAAATTTAGTCAATTATCCATCAATATTTTTTCCAAAAACTAAAAATCGGTAACTTTCATGATCACATTTAAATTATTTTATATACACTGAAGATCTAAAAACAGAATATTTTATTACCTGAGGTCCTTCATCAGGATTGTTGAAATCACGGATGATTTTGTTCCTTTTTTGAATTGGAATCGCTCCCGAAAACATTTCTATCTTAGCATTATAATGAGCCAAATTTTTTTTAATTAAGTAAAGAAAACTTGGCCATTGACTTACAATGATTGCTTTGTCATTGCCACCATTGATTAATATTTTTTGATTTACCAAATCGCAAATTTTTTTTATCTATAATAATAATTGATTAATTAAATAATGTAAAAATTGTACAACAATTTCTGCCATTCATATTTGTATATTATGCATTATGTCATAAAATAATGAAAACATTCTACCTTGGAAGATACATAGGTTTTTTGGAATATGTTTCTGTCAACCACAGACTTTATCTTAACAGGTTCATCTTCCAATGTAAGGCAACTCATAAGATCTGACAAGTCAATATTGTTTGGAGAAGTATCAATGTCTTTGTTTTCATTACATGAATCATTATAAGTTGCATCTATGTCATCTTCTGGGATACTCTCCATATTATCCTCTTTTTTAATACTCTCTTCTGTAATAGGCTAAAAATAATACGAGGCAAATGTTTAATACATTTATTTAAAAATTATAATTTATTAAAACCACATACTCCTTTGATCAATATTGGGTGACAGCACATTTGTCGTAGTCTTAAAAGTAATACCAATATATGGTATGTTTGGATCTCATCGATGTTCTTGAACTGTTTAAACAATTTAAGTAATTCAGGATGATCTTTGAAGACTTTGTCTTTATCTTGACTTTGTTCTGTAAATAAATTACATCTTTATTTAATATTGTAA